AATGAGACTAATGATAAGTGCAAAATGTTAGTTTTCAAGTGGTAGCACATAAATTATTTCATTTGGTGCTAAAAATGGAGTGAAGTGTCCAGGGAAGTTATTATTTTGAGAAATCAACTGACCAGCTTAGGGTTACAACTCTTAATGAGGAAAGCCAGAAATAGAATTGAGATTTTTTTTTCCCCTTAGTTTCTCTAGAATTGAGGTTGGTTGGTATATCATTCCCTCCACCCCACAGGGAAGCAAAAATTATTTACATCACAGTGGAAACAGTTCTCTTCCCTCTTTCCCAACAGGAGTCAATGCAAAACTCCACAGTGGCTTGGCCTTGAATCAAAATGGTGGCAGGGAGCAAAATAAATCATGTTTTTTAGAGAACTGCTTTTAAAGGTGACAGCTTTTCAGTGTGAAAAATTACACAAACACCGTCCAGTGTGTAGACTGTGAAGTTAAGCAGTTTAAATTTATCAGGTACAAATGAAGGGAGGACAATTAAGCTAAAGGGCATTTCCTGTGCAAAGGCAGAGGCTGAGAAAGTATAGAGGGTGTTACGGGAAGACCACAGGAACTGCAGCAACAGCCAAGGATGGACAAGTGTGGGAAGAAAGATTGGGATAGGCTGTCTGAAAACACCTCAATGCTACCTAGAGGAGTCTGAATTTTACTTTTAAAAACTCGTTTATCAAACAATATGCCAAAGAAGTTTTAAGCTGCGTAGGAATTACATGATTTTTTTTTAAAGTTCTTAACCCAGTGCTATGAGTTTCAGTAAATTTTGTTAGATTAGTGCACTTTGTGCATATGGTTTAAAAGGTTTGCTTTGACTCCCACTGTGAGAAGGGCCAATGGGTGATTAGGTCGAGCAGCTCAAAACTGTTGAAGTAAAGAGTGAAGGCTGTGTTTATTTATGTTTATTTAATAGAGGCAGAAAGTATCCTTCATCTAAGTGATGTCCACGGGTTAGCACCTATGCTTTGAGACATGCACTGAAGGCACTGTTTATGGCCAACAAGGAACAAGGATTATTAAGGGAAGGTGACAGCCCAGAGAGAAATTAGATGAAATGAACAGGGCCAGAGAAAGGCACTAACTTTGCTGAGTATTAACCACACTGGGCTAAGCTGTGCTAAATGCCTTATGTATTATCTCATTTAAGCCTCACAAGAACCCTGTAAGGCAGACACAACTCCATTTCCCAGATGAGGTTCCTGGGGCAAAAAAATAAAATAAAATAAATAAATAAATAAATAAATAAATAGGCAAAATATCATTGAAATGTTTCTGAAATGTCAAAACAAAACAAAATTCTACTTGTTAATTCTGTAAGCAGATACCATCAAGTTATTAAAAACTAGACTTAATCATCCTAATTTGATTCTAAGAAAAGATATTATGAAGTTTAATGAGTTTTTCTCTGTTTACGATGCTGCTAAGTTTTAAAAGAATTCATATGTGGAAGAAAATAGTTCAAACTCATGTACCCTGATGATCAAATCTTCCTGCATAGGCTTAGAAGGACTTCACCTTTGGATTCATGCTTCCACTTTCAAATAAAGTGAGTGGTTGTCTCAGGTAGATACATTCCAGTGAGGGATAGGCCACAGTTGGGATAAGACCTCAGGCTGCTCTCCTACAACTTTGCCATGAACAGGAGCCAAAATTTAAGCTCTGACCCAAGTGACCAGCTGTCACTGGTGACAAACAGGAGCTGAGCTTATCCTTTCCTACAAAATACGGTTAGTCAGGGAGGAAGGTCAAAATTATGGTATCTGTGATGGTTAAATAAATTAATTACAAGTTTTTATTTTTATTAGCCATTTTTATGTTTCTATTGCAGAACTTAGTCTACGAAAATAAAAATGTCATAAAAATAAATACCCCTATAATAGATAAAATATTGAAACCAGTTATGCAATTACTTCAAATCCTAATTTATGGTTTGATCTCCAGAGGTAAATAAGTCATACATTTCTCACTTTTTAAAAAAACTTCTGTTACAATAGAAAAATCTTCAACTTGAAGATTTGAATTTGTTATATTACCTGGTATGTTGGAAAACAAAATGCTAAATCATGAATAAATTATATTTAAATATTATTACCCTAGATCTTTTACATTTATGGTTTTAACAAAAAATCGCATTGAAACAGTCATATTCATTCTTTTCCTGCCAGTAACTGTTTAGCCATAATTTCTTTCTTGGTTTCTCTGGTCTCTCTTTCCTTTTCTGTATGTGTGCACTTGTTTTGGGGTAAGAATCCTGTAGTTTTCCCACTATATCAGCTTTCCAATTATGGTGCTGGGAGAACTGTTGTCAATGTGCTAGGAAACAATTTGTAAGCACTGGTAACTTTTTTTTTTTTTTATCTCAGGGTATGTTTAAAAGCTTTCTTTCTTTTTTGGGGTGGTGGTGGTAGTGGTGTTGGGGATTGAACCCAGGGCCTTATGCATGCAAGGCAAGCACTCCACCAACTGAACTATATCCCCAGCCCTTAACAGCTTTCTTTTTCAAGCAACTCCAGAAATCTCAAAGTCTTGGACACAATTTAGAATTATGTCTTTGCTCTGTTGATAGGCAATTTTGAAATTTACTGACAAATATGCTGGGATAAATCAATTAAGATGCAGATGATAAGTTTGTAGATGAGGTTTCTGAAAAAAACATATTTGTAGGTGAATTCTGATAAGGTTTCTAAAAATTTTGTTATGATCTAAAATCACTTGATTTGATATAAATTGTCTTAAAATTACAGCTTTTTAAAAATTAACTTCTCATAAGAAAGTACAATAAAAATCTCAACGACTTTGGAGGCTGAGGCAAGAGGATTGGAAGTTCAAGACCAGCCTCAGCAACTTAGCAAGGCCCTAAGCAACTTCAGGAGATACTGTCTCAAAATATAAAATAAAAAGGACTAGCTATGTGGTTGAATAGTGAAGCACACCCATGGGTTCAATCCATAGTATTAAAAAAAAAAGTACAATCAAATGCCAATCAACATTTTCAAGGCCATATATCTAAAACTATTAAATATTTCATTGTGCAAATTCTACTTAGTGTTTATTTGAAATTCTTTGCCACTGTGCATATTCTCTAACTAATTACAAATAACCTATTTAAAAGAAATTTTTATGCATAAACAGTAATGCATTATTAATTCCTAGATTGCTCTTGGGATAAATGTTATTAAATATCTTAATTGTATTACTACAATATCAAATAACATGAAATTTAGTTACCAGTCTTCTAACCACAAATACCAGAGAAAGAGAGATTGTAACAATTGAACTGATCAGACAAGATTATGGTTTACTCATGCCAATAATTATTGAGTTGATAAAAAATATAAAACACTTCCATTAACCAAAAATATAGCACCATTCTACCATAACAAACTGAAACCTGGCCCAGGCATCTTAACTCTACACTTTCTGATCCAACAGTGACATATCTGAGCTCAGAATCTAAATGTATTTGTTTTGCTGTGTTTGCTTAGATTTTCCAAAGTGCTTTGGTTCCTGATTGCACACTGCTATTGTGTGGATCAAATAATCCCTGGTCACAAAAATATCCCGGGCAGTGACTCCCCTGGCGTCCAGGTTATGAGTGTGATCACTCATTCCACATGCCTTAGGGATGAGCTATCTTTGCCATGATGAGAGATTTCCTTTTCAAGTTTTGTTATCCCCAATACAAAATACTATCATAAACAAAAATTCAAAGTAATTAATTTTAAAAAACATGTTGCATGTACTGAAATCTTGTTTAAGATAGCATTGACATTTGGCTTATCTTTCCTTGCTGTCTTTTACTGATTTAGAACAGAAGAAATTTTAAAATATAGTCTTAGAATTGTAAATATCTATTACACTGACTTCTTCAATGCAAACCATAACCAGGTATTTTAAACTGTACTTTTGCCACGTATACGCTAGATTTGCCAGTTTTATTCTCCTTCTTGTGGTTCATGGTATTATGAAACAACTTAGGAGGGGAAGAAAAAATGTAAAAACATTCTGTAAACCTTTTCTTCTTCCCCCCCCCCCCCCCCAATCTCTCATTATGGCTTGGTGAGTGAAATCATATATTTTAGGTACTGCAACTCGTTTTATGATAGCGGCCTTCCAATATTTCAGGATATGCTTGGCCTTTCCTGAACTTGGGCAGAGGTACAGCTCACAGAGTAGGGCAACGTCAGTCAGTCTCAGTCTCCTCCTCTGCGCGATCCCGGGATCCAGGCATCTCCCAGATTCCCTGCGCTCTCAGATTCAGCCCTTGGCGTGCTGCTGACCAAAGTGACCCGCTAGGTTGGGAAATGACATCTGGTGCGGTTCCAGGGAAAGGACAATCTCTTTAAAGATAACGGGGTTAGAGAGCGTGCTCTCCCGGACTCTTTCTTTCTATCTTTTGCTCCTTAGATTTTTACAAGTTATTTGCAATGGAGTCAAACATGGGTCAGGCAAACAAATGTGTTCTTTCCAGTCACCGTAACCGGATCGCTGCAGCGAAAGAGAACTCGCAGAAGCGTCCAGAGACCGCAGCCAGACCGTCAGTCTGTGGCAAAAGCAACTTCTAAGTGAGGCAGCACAAGCTGCCAGGATGCAGATTTCAGTTCACGGCTAAGCACAGCGACTGCACTGCATTCTCTGCACCCCTCCGACTCTCCAAAAGCAAGGAAGGACAGGGGGAGGGAGGACCAGTCGAAAGCCATCCGCATTTCTGCACGTCGGCGCCACTTGGAAAGCCCTGCAGCTTTAGGACACCCAGAAAGAGAGATGCAAGGGCCGGGAGCCAGGGTTCCTGGGCGAGGGCGGGGAGTGGGGACCTCACCCATCCCGCCCCCCTCCATCCACCCCACTGGCCCCCGACAGCTGTGCAACTCTTGTAATTCATTGGCTTCACCCACCCCGCCTTCCAAATACCACCCCAATCCAGTTTAGCCCCCTGCCCCACCTTCGCTGACCTAATAAGGCCATGCAGTGTGCTGGGGACCTATATAAAAGGCGAGGACTTGCGAGGGCTCTGCACGACGCGCCCAGAGAGAGAAGACAGAATCCATCCAGCTCCCACAAAGACGACCATGGCCAAGGAGTGGGGCTACGCCAGCCACAATGGTGAGTGCCGGCAGCTGCAGACCCTGGTCCAGGATGCTACCAGAGTATATCCTGGCATTGCACAGAATGTAGGCGATTCTAGGGAGTGCTCTGGAAAATGCAGGCCTGGAGTGGGGGGGTAAAAACTAACATTTACTGAGCAATTTTTCAAGTGCCAAATGCTGCTGGTCTTTTTGCCTTTATCTCATTTTGTTCTCCTTTATATCGACTTGGTGTTTTCCTTGGATGAAACTGATGCTCAGAGTTCGTAACTTGCCTAAATGATGTTGCTTCTGACTGAGAAGTCAGAGCACCCGAGGTGCAGATCTGATTGTCCCTTACTCCCAGACCCAGCACACACATAATCTCTCCCAGGCTAGTGTTGAGATAAGAATTTCTGCTCCACCTACCCCTTCTATCTAACCCGTGGGAAAAGGATACCTTTGTGTTCTGAAAAATCACAGCGATGCAAAAACTCTTTGTGGTCAATGAATTAAGTCTATTTTAAAAGTAAGTCTTTCAGACCATCTTCCTGAGACAGCAGCAGGAATACACAGAATTAAATATAGCCTCCACATATACTATTAGCAAAACTATGAATAGATCTTAAATACTAAGTCTTATATTGCTCAATTCGAACCCCAGATCTTTTGTAATCATTATCTAGCATCCGAGTATTTTGTTGGCTTCGTCAATTTGAAAGAGGCCTTAGTTATTGGGTTGTACCACCAAATAAATAAATCTCAACTCTTGTTTCCTAGGTCCTGACCACTGGCACGAACTTTACCCAATTGCCAAGGGTGACAACCAGTCACCCATTGAGCTGCATACTAAAGACATCAAGCATGACCCTTCTCTGCTGCCTTGGTCAGCATCTTATGATCCTGGCTCTGCCAAAACCATCCTGAACAATGGGAAGACCTGCAGAGTTGTGTTTGATGACACTTATGATAGGTCAAGTAAGTATAGCACTTAGATAGGGGCACATGGATGTTTTCATTGTTTGTTCTGGCAAATGTGAGTTATGACATGGTAACAGAATTAGTAGGAAGAGGGAGCCCTTCATCCCTGAAAATGGAGATGATGTGACATTCAACTTTGCTTTAGTTGTGAAGAATTATATTTATGCAATGAAGAGGAATGTCTCACCCTCTAATTCTGATACTTTGTTGTTGCAAAATGGCCCCATGCCCAAGCTAAGAGTTGGCAATGCTTTCCTGAAATGGGAGCTTGATAGGACAGCGATGGCAATGAATCCAAGTTAGTATTCCAACTCCGATGGCCAATAGCCGAGGGTTCTTGTGCTTTTTGACCACAGTGCAAGGAGTGCAAGGCTCCCACTCCCCTGTTTGACAGGGATTCCCTTCTACAAAGCAAGAAATACAATAAAGAAACATGAATTTTCTTCCCCTGGTGCCCAGAGGAGGCCAATCCAGGGGAGAAAAGAGGCCTTCATATAGATCAAAATGCCTGGGCTTCAGGGCTTCAGTGGGGTTCATTTGATTTATCCTTCTAGTGAGTGTATTTTGTAGTATCTGATCTTCTTTTTCTTGAGTATTTGTGTGTGATAAATTATCTTTTCTTTTTTAAAGTTTAACCTACCCTAGTAAACAAATCAATGAAATAAAAGTACAATTAGAAATGTCTTATTTTACCATAAATGAGGTAAGCAACACTTTTTCTTTAATAATTTATGCCTGATGTGTATAACACACTTTCTTATAACCACATTTCTAATAAACTTAAAATTATCCTTATTTATATACATACATGAATGTTCTTAGTGATATAAAAAAGAAGAGTCAGAATTTCTGCCTACCAGAAGGTTCCAAGTAAGTAATATAATAGAAGTTTACTTTTTCTTAAACAATAATTTCATGTTGCTCTCTCTCCTTTCTCACCACTGAAAACAAGATCCATTTTGAAGGAAAAGCAATTAAATTTGACAGTTTTCATTAGGTTGAACCACATGAAAAATGCCATTTTTTAAGCAGTCAATAGTTGAATATTTCCAATTTCATGTAATTTATTTAATAAATTGGACTCATATGTCCAGATAGTAACTATTTCAAGCAATAGGATAGAAAAAATACAATACCTCAAACCACTTTCTTCCTTCATGACCAAGCTCAAACAGGCCTAGCATTATCGTTTTACATCTTTGTCCCACTTAGAGTGGCCAGTCATTTCCTAAATAGCTTCCCTCTGAATTCTATTTTGATAGCTTATGTGGCTAGATCTTGATTTTAACGTTTCTGCATAGTTTCCAATGTCCTCTGGAAGATATTTGAACCTCTAAACTCTTCCCTAAGCTGAATGAATTGAGACATTCATTCAAGAAACCCAAATTATTGCTACCAAGAATTACCAAGTTTAGCAGTCCACAGTGATTGATTTCCTGGGAAATTTATGAATTTTCAATTTCATCTGATTTGAGTAGACAGAGTCTAAATTAGATGTGGGTGAAAGTTCTTGCTTGTATTCCTAAAAAAAAAAAAAAAAAAAAAAGTGTACTCGAAAGCAAGACATACATGGAGGAGGAATTCATGTACGTGCACACTGATCACCATGCAGGCATTGTGATGAACACCATTAAGGTGTTTAATCTCAGTTAATCCTCACAGCAGCTCTGAAAGTGTGGAATTATTATCACCTTCTCAGAGATGCAAAAATGATTCAGAGAAATTTAGCAACTTGTCTGAAGTCACACAGCTCTCATGGGGTAGAACTAGGATTGGAACTTAAGTCTATCAACTGTCAAGTTCTTCCTACACACCACATCTCTGATCTGTTCTTTGGGTATACACATTCTTATTGTCCATCTGTTATTTAAATTTTATTTTTCTAAATGTTCAAATCAAATGTGATCCTGCAATCTGTACACGTAGGAATAATAAGAATTCATACCCCATTTGAAACAAATGTATGATATATGATATGTCAAGATCAATGTAATGTTTTGAGCAACTAAAAAAAATGTTCAAGTCACATTTTAAAAATAATAAAACAAGCAAACAAAACAAGAAGGACAGAAAAGAAAGCACCTTATTTTGATGTGTCTCTCAAGACTTCATTTGGTGAGGAGATTGGTGTGCTTGCGAATGGCTCCATCTGCCCAGTAGACTGACCACCTCTTGCTGGTAAGAGTACCTGTGTAAAGCAGGGCTCTCTGCAGGAAATGTGAATTACTGCTGACCTTGCTTATCCAAATCACAGTGCTGAGAGGCGGTCCTCTTCCTGGGCCCTACCGACTTCGCCAGTTTCACCTTCACTGGGGCTCCTCCGATGACCACGGCTCTGAGCACACGGTGGATGGTGTCAAGTATGCAGCAGAGGTAGGAGGAACGGCCAGAATCTACTCTAGGTCTCCTACATTGAAAACTCAGAGATTAAAAAGAACAAGTGCAGCAATTAAACAATACCCATTGTTTTTGCTTCAAGCCTGTAGTGAAAAGAGTTGTAGTGTCAGCGTACACTGGAGCTGCCAAACATTCTAGGCTAGACAGTAAAAAGGGGTGTGTGTGGGTTAGTGTTAAGCATGAAGACTTCCAAGGTTCTATTAAGAAATCAGCTGCTTAACATAAAAAATGCCAGGGTTCTGAATGGAACTAGAACAATAAGGATAGCTAGTATTTATTAAGTATGTACATGATGGACTCATTTAATCCTCTCAGCAGCCCTAGGCAGTAGGTTACAGGTAAAGCAATGGAGGCACAGAAAAGTAACATAACAGGTACATAGTTGATGAGTGCTAGACCTGGTGCTTTTCTTTATGCAGATTGGCTTCAGAGTTCATCATCTTCCCTCGTGCTCTATGCTGTCTCTTATATAAGAACATAATATTTTAAAATTTGCAGTTAATAATTCTGACTAATGCTCACATTGTAATTTTTAATGAAGGTGTGCATATAAATGTATGCATTATGTAACCCATATATATGTATATATATATAATTTAATATAAGCAAATACTACGCTTTGTCTCAGCCCATTAAAAATATCATGACTTACAGCTCAGATCAAGACATTACACTACAAAGAGAATAAGAGAAGCTACCTCTATGATCTCTTTGTAAAGTCAAGCCAGTAAGTAGTGCCCTAAAGATGAGGATACATTCATTTTTCCCACTTCAGTCTTTCCAAGGGCAACCTCTGGTCAACATAGTGGCTGAGGTAGGAACTGGAGGCATGTGGGAACATTCTCCTAACTGCCTATCATTAGGCAGCACAATTGTTTTCTAAATTAAACTCTTAGAAACCCAAAGTACTTCATTATGATCAGTCCATTTCTCTGTAGCCAATTTAGGAGCCAGTGCCAAGAGTAATTATTTAGAATGCTTTGCCATTAGACATCTTCTCCAAAAATCGGGAAAGTTTAGGCTATTTTTTACAGATGTGGGAAAGCCCTTGGGTTTGACCTTTACCCATGGGATTATTACTATACTTTTGATCTTTAATAAAATATTTTAACTGGCATAAACTATTATATATACATTTTTTTTGCCACGCTAAGTAACTCAATATGGAAAACCTGATTAACTTAATGGGTGCACATGTTCTAAATTAAGATAAGGTTGCCACTAGGTTCTAGGGCCCTGGCTATAAGGAAGTAGGGAATTTCAAACACATTTTATTTGAACCATTAACAATTTCACCAAAGTATTGCATGCTATTATTTAGAATTTTATCAACTTCTATGAGAATGTGAAGCAACAATCCTTAGAATGCACCTGTTTTTGATTTATTGCAAATGTTTTTTTTACTCGTTTTCTTATTCCAAGGATTTACCTCATAACCTGTATTTTATGGTTTCAGCTTCACTTGGTTCACTGGAATCCAAAGTATAACACTTTTGGAGAAGCTCTGAAGCAGCCTGATGGAATTGCTGTGGTTGGCATTTTTCTGAAGGTAAGGTAAAAATCGACCATATTTTTTAATTTAAAAAATGTAGTCCCTTATCAATGATGAGGATACTATGATTTCCATTCCTTCCTGATGGTCTGAGGGGTGTATCTGCATCTTTTCCTTCCTCCACAGACTGATCATTACTCACTCAAGTAATCCAGACATTTTTGCTAAAATAAACTCAGAGTACTTTTTTGCTAAAAGTATTTCTTTTTCCAAACTCCAATACCCGGTACTTCTAAATTTTCTTAAGATGTTTGTGTGTGGAGAGTTGGGGATAAAAACTCAAGGGACCTTATTATGGTGGTGAGGAGGGTGAGGGTGGCATGTGCTCATTATTCTTTTCACTACTCTGTTTCAACTGCACTGGAAACCAGAAAAGCCCATGTTGGGAACTTCTGTGATGCCAAGTAGCTGGCTGGACATCCCCTCAGCTTAAGGTGGCCACCACCCACATGATCCCCGGCTAAGATAGCACATGGAATGTGTGTGTTGTTGAGCCAGCCTTGGTTTAAAGAGGACTTAGTATCATTAACACATGAATTTGGTTGTAACACAATCTAGATTTTAAGCCAGAGGTGAAAATCTGGTGTCTTTCTTTTTGAATGACCTAATTTGCTTTATGTTCTGAATTGACTGGGTCATTTTCAGGGCTGGAACACAACACAACAGGAGCTGAAGTGGGCTTGAGAGGAAAGACAATGGATTTAGTTTCAGATACATAAAGTTCACTCTAGCTCTAACTCTATAAAAAAAAAGAAAAGAAAAAGAAGAAAGAAAGAGAGAGGAACAATTTTCCAGAGAAGGTCAAGGGTGTAGAACTAGAGCAACATGTAATTTTGTGGTTTTGTACTTCAGAGGCCTAAAGTCTAAGTTTAGATTAGAAAATGTATCCTCTAAAATCTGGGGGTGGGGGGATAAACTCATGTTTTTGCTTAGTACAAGACATTCTGGCAGAGTTATAAACACTAGTTGCATATGATGGATCAAAATCAGTTTTTAAGACAATCTTAAATTATGGAGAGGGGAAAACATCATGTGGGATTTCAATTTTCTTCTAGATAGGACGGGAGAAAGGCGAATTCCAGCTTGTACTTGATGCACTGGACAAAATTAAGACAAAGGTAAGAGAAAATAATTTCCCTCCTAAAGCATAAGGCAGAGTACATCAGTTTTTTCTTTTACACTCTCAAGTGTATTTTTTCACCTAAAATCAGTTGCTATGTCCAATAGATATGCTCATTTGCATATAAAAATAAATGCCATTATATTTGTATGGTTTATAGTTTTTAGAGCAATTTCACATTTCAAATACATAGTTCAAGGAAGTGGGTGAGAATCAGAGCAATGAAGTGGTCACCTTGCCCTCTCCCTCCCCACCTACATACATGCCCAGGATCTCAGAGATTCTCAATGTAAGCCATGCTGGTCTTTTAAATCCTGGTGCTGCCCTATATATTTTCAATCCTAACAGTTGACTCATCTAATTAGCAGACACATTTTAGTTGTCTTTGGGACTATTCAAATTTACTGCTATTAACTTTTTTTAAAAAAAATATATTTTTAGTTGTAGATGAACACACAGTATCTTTATTTTTTATTTGGTGCTGGGAATCGAACCCAGTACCTCACATGTGTGAGGCAAGTGCTTTACCACTGAGCTACAGCCCCAGTCCCCACCTGCTATTAAGTTATACCACTAAAATAAGTAAGTAATCTGAAATATAGCATTCGCTTAAAATGCAAGCCTGTTATCATCAAGAACGAAAACATCAACCTATATGAAATACTTCTGTTATGTTTTATATACAGTATGAGTTTTCCCTCATAAGAAGCGGCAGAATTATAGCTCTGCTAGTGGTTAAAACGATAAGGAATAAAATATTACAATGATTGTAATATTTTCCAATATTACAGCTCCCCAAACCTTTGCCCTTTATTTCTGAAAGGCCTGAGCCTTGGTAAAAAGTTCCAATATCTCTGTTGAACTTGAAATCTATTTGCACAAATGCAATGGAGAGACTTTTGGGGTGTGGCCGTGTGTGCATCAATTCACAGAGCCTGTGCCTTACCTTCTTCCAGGGGAAGGAGGCGCCCTTCACGCACTTTGACCCGTCCTGCCTGTTCCCTGCCTGCCGAGACTACTGGACCTACCGTGGCTCCTTCACCACACCTCCCTGTGAGGAGTGCATCGTGTGGCTGCTCCTGAAGGAGCCCATCACCGTGAGCTCCGACCAGGTAAAAGGCCACCACAGCGCCTCTGAGGCATCCGCATTTATCACTGGCTGCCCGTAGAAGATGCAGATGCTACACGGAAAAATATAGCTATTGAATGGATACTTAGAACAACTCTGCTCCTAGAGATTTCACAGCTTGCCCTGGTTAATTATAATCAGGTTGGCACAGGAGTACCAAGAGTACCAGAATAGATGCAGATCTTTTAAAAGTAGTTGTGATAGTAAACAATGACTAAGTTTATGCTCTAAAAACACTTAAGGGTTTAGATTAAGATAAGTGAGTCTACATTTGTTTGAATGTACCCGAAATACTGAGCACAGGTTAGAAAATAGGTTGGCAAATAGAGGCCAGGGAGGGAGAAGGGAATAAAAAAGGATTTAACATTCTTGTGAGGTATATATTATTTCTCCAGTTTTACAGATATTATATGTTGAGTCTCAGAAAGGTAAAGTAATTTACCCATGAAAACACAGCCAAGTGCAGGATCCTAAGCCCAGCTTTGGTCTGTCTGCTTCCAACACTTCTTGGCTTCTCTTCTCAGGCTTCTAGTCTTTCTGTTCATCCAAAGAACAGCTTAGCAACATTTGTTAAGGAGGTTTTCAAGGGGCTGGAGATGTAACTCAGTGGGGAGACTGCTTGTCTGGCATGCATGAGGCCCTGGGTTCAGTCCTTGGTACCTCTCCCCCCATCTACTCAAGAAAAGCTATTTGGGAGAAAGTAAGTGTTCAGAGACATGGAAAGAAAACATTTAAGCAAGTGAACAACACAGAGAACATGAATGCTCCCACAATAGTTACATCAGTCCACCACTGTCTCCTTTGCCCAATTAACATTAACTTTCATATTTCTGCCAGTGCGGATTCACATACATAAACTGACAATTTTATCAAAAGTTCAGATTGAAGGGTCTTACTCATTGGTATAAATATTTTGAAAAAGGAATAAAATTTTTCCAAGAAGAAAAGCTAAAAACATTTTAACGTGAAAATATAATATTCCTATTTTCTGGTCCTTTAATGAAAAAAAGCTCAAAATTGAAAATGACTCTAGTTTCTTTTTGCTCTTTTAAAATAATTGATTTTGGCGGGGCTGGGGTTATGGCTCAGAGGTAGAGTGCTCACCTAGCATGCATGAGGCACTGGGTTTGATCCTCAGCACCACATAAAGTAAAATAAAGACATTGTGTCCATGTATAATTAAAAAATAAAATAAAATAATCCATTTCATGAACTTACATAATGAAGGCCTATTAAGCTTATAATTGTTTGCACCTATGTTAAATTGTCATGCCTTTCTATATAAAATGTGTATTTCATACTGACCTCTCAAATTAAAAGAATTGTTTCAGAATTCAGGAGGAAATGGTTTGACCAAAGGGTGTGGTGATCTTGAATTAAATGGGGGGCGGGGAGGCTTTACAAACAAACAAAATTATATTACTCAGGAACTGGTAGCTAACTAGCTCTGGAATGAGTGCTGGAGATATGATTTAGGGTTTGCTTGTCCTGTTTAGAAAGTCAGTGATTTCTAACTCTATTTCGCCCACTTGGTTCAAATGCCTTGCTAACCATCTGCCCTGCCCCTTGCAGATGGCCAAACTGCGCAGCCTCTTTGCCAGCGCAGAGAACGAGCCCCCGGTGCCCCTTGTGGGGAACTGGCGCCCTCCGCAGCCTATCAAGAACAGGGTGGTGAGAGCCTCCTTCAAGTGAGCTGCTGTGTCTTGCCCTCTTCAGGAAAGGAAACCTGCCTTTGGAGAGCTTGGTTCCTTGCCTCCTTCTGGTGCTCCTTACCGCAAGTGTATTTCCTGTCCTCACACCTGAGCAAGGATTGTGACAAATGCAGTCACCAAGAAACCAAAGTCACTTTTGACAAGATCTAAAACAAAAGCATGAATTTCACACTTGACCTTTGTTATTATCATCTTTTTTTTTTCTTTCTATCACAGTAGTATTTCTGGTAAGATTTCCAAGAAGAAACAAAAATAGATGAATAAAGACAGAAAAATGGCGCTCAAGCAGTATTTTTCTGTCATCTTAAATTTCACAGAACCTCAGATTTCCTATTTTTGTATTATGAGTTGTCCATCTTACAGAAGTAATGAGTAATTCTATATGTAGGAAGAGAGATAGATGAAGATTATCTAACCAACATAAGCCAGAATGTTTGTTACACCAAAAATTGAATTGCCAATGTGTTTTACCTCTTAAATAACACCAAAGAGAAGACCATCACTTTTTGAATTTTAGCTACTATCTAGATATCTGGGTTTGATAGTCCATTAAAGGAAATCACATTAGGAGTTTTAGAAGTTTTGATGCGGTATCTGAATTTGCGGTATCTGAATTTCTTCTTCATAAATATGGTTTTCTTTATCTGAAGCAGGGCCATTCATTTTTTATTTCGTTACTTTTATCTTTGCATGCCTATTAAAGCAAAAACTATCTCTAATGTCTAGCATATTCGAGGCTGGAATTAATGATTCCTAGAACGCAAAGGAGTAAATGACAGCACTTGAAGCAAAAGCAGTTGTACTGATCACCAAAACCAATAAAGACATGGACACAAAAGTTGGCTGCTGTGTGTTTTAAAGAAAATGCATTATAAGTGACAAAAATGGAGAATAGGTTTGAATGTTACATTCCTTAAGTGGGGACCAAGGCAATTAGTGCCAACAAAAGAAATGTTTGACTATATATCCGGAAAGTGTGAAATAGCTCCCAGAGGCCTCAACATTGATTAAAATTCTGGGTTCCCTGCAATGAATTCTACAGTCAGGCAAACAAGTCAGAATGTAGCTCTTATGGCATTATTTCATAAAAAAGCTTAGGAATGACATTGGCCTGACACAGCAGAAGTCCAGATATTTAGACCTTTAAACATTTAATATCTTCAGACACTGTTCTGATTTGGATCTGAGGTTTTCCCCTAAGGCTCATGTGTTGAAAGTTTGGTATCCAATGCAACAATGCTCAGAGGTGAACTTTTGGGAAGTGACTAGATAATGATGGCTTTGACCTCATCAATAAATTAATCCACTGATGGATTCATAATTTAATGGCCTATTGTGAGGTAGTAGAAATGGTAGGAAATGGGCCTGAGTTGAAGGGAGAGTCCTTGGGAACATACCCTTGGGTACTATGTCTTGTCCATGGCCCCTTCCTCTCATGGCTCTCCAAATACTATCAGGTAAGCAGCTTTGTTTTTTTCATACCCTTCCACCATGATGTACTGCATCACCTCCACCATGGTGTACTGCTTCACAATAGGCCCAGAAATCACAGAGCCTGCTGGCCATGAACTTAAACCTCTAAAAATGTGAGCCAAAATAAATCTTTTCTCCTTTAAATTGTTTTTCTCAGGCATTTTGTCAGAGAGGCAAAAAGCCAACACAGAATAAAATATATTTTTGTTGTTAGTGACTTTGATCATCTTTCATTACTTCAGGGTTAATATGTTAACTATTTGAGAAAATGGCAGCTATAAGTTCATTACTCTAAGGAATGAAGACAGTATTGGGTCAGGAGAGTCCTGAGTTGCTGGAAGTCAAGTCATGTGATAGAGTCCTGTGAGGCTACCATTATTTAATAGAGTACCACTTGGGTGAGGTGAAACCAGGTTGGTCAGTATGAAGTGGATGTGTTAATTAAATCCCTTGAAATTAGGAGGCATGGAGCTTTGATCATTAGTGGTAACACACAAGCTCATTCTCTCAGGGTACTTACTTAGTAATGCCAGGGCACTATGTGAAGAGAAATGCATAAACTACAGACAGGTCTTATTCCATATACCAGCTGGACAAGCCTGGAGTTGTTTTGAGGGAAAATGCTGGATCAAAGGAGACAGAACATAAGCTCCATTAGGGCATGGAGATGAGTCTTGCACACCAACATTGACCTTATTGCTCAGTAGTGTGTCTGGCACTTAATAAGCACGGAGTAAGTATTTGAATGAATGATGTCATGAATATAGAGGAATCCAGGAAAAGTACTCTTCTCTTTGAACCACACAGTTCTCTACATGATTAATACTAAGACTGGATTTTGCTTATCTTATATCGTCTTGGAAAATGCTCTGCAGCTTCGGGTGGGAGATTTCCAGTAGAACATATTCTCCCACAATATGAATGATTGCTAATGACCACAATTATCATCCAACGTAAAACTTCTTCTCAACTTCTCTTTTCCCTCAAAGTGCAGCAACATTATAAACGTCCATTGGAATATTGAAAGAAAGAAAGAAAGAAAGAAAGAAAGAAAGAAAGAAAGAAAGAAAGAAAGAAAGAAAGAAAGAAAGAAACTGTTCCTCAGGGTATTGAAGGCATAAGTTATTTTCACTTCAGCCACTAGATGACAGCAAAATGTTTAAAAACATTCATATGGTTCGCTAGATGGCAGCAAAATAATTACAAAAATGATTGAAATTCAAAGTCATTGTTTTATTCACATTAATTCCAGAGCAATAAATTTAAAAAAATTAACCAAAAACCTATTTCCCTTATTCAAATACTTATTATTAAATATTAATATCTGTCTACAAAAGAAAAAGTAGTAAATTCCTACAATTTCTTTCTTTCTTTTTTTTTTTTTTGAGAATCTTAATAGTAAAAAATGAGGCCTGAGGGGAAAAAGGGTACTTATTGAACTAAAATTTAAATATATAAGAAACAAACATTTTAAAGTCCTATTCAATATTCAGGAGTACTGGGGTCAAGCCAAGCAACATTGGCTGGCTATAAGGTCTTGGGCAATTTAATTTATTTGTGTCTGTCTTCTCATCTGTAAATCAGAATAATAGTATTACCTTCCCAGAAGGTTATAATTAAGAACTAAACAAGTTAAAACAAGTAAACTGCTGTGATAGTCATTCTGGCCCAACTCTCAATAGGAGTTAAATCTTTCGTAAATTAATTTTACTTCAACCAAGAAATATATTACTAGCTTATTCTAGTAATGCCTAAATCATGCTTTTTTTTTTACTTGCAATGTGAATCTACAATTTATTTATTCAGATTATATTAAAAAGAGTTACTATCATGAACTCACTTCTGCTTGCTATTGGGGGAAAATGGTAATGTCAAACACTGACTGCAACTCATTCTATGTATGCAGCTGGAAAACTAAGACGTGGCCATGTGGAACCAGCACATTGCTAGAAGAGGTAATACAGAGGAGGACCAGATGATTTTCCCTGATGAAGCTTCTGTCCCAGGAGCTCTGCACCTTACTTGTGGAAGTGCATAGTTAGCAAAACATCCTGAAGATAAACCAAAGAGGAGAGCCGGGGGAACCATGGTGCTTGTTCTGTTCAACATTGACTCCCAAATGTTGATGAAACACAGTCCCTGGGAGTTCTGCATAAAGTGAAAAATCTGTCTTAATAGTAAATACAGAAACTTTCCTGCCATGAAATTAATTTTGAGCTTGTCTGGGCATGTCATAAAATCAGAATGCTGAATAACATGTACCAGTCACTCCTGGGAGGAGGGTTTATATTTTGGGGGTGATTCAATTCCAAGTGAACAAAAGGAGAATTCCAAGTGAACAAAAGGAGATAAGACAATCTAGGTATAAAATCTATGATCAAGGGTTTGGCTAGAGAGCTAATCAACTGCAGATGTGAAAGTGTTCAGTAGGTGCAGCCACCCGACAACTTGACCAGGTAGATAATCACAGGTAATCAGCAGGAGTAAAAGCGAGTCTAACAGTTCAGTCACAGGGGACCAAGTGCACTGCAGCGGCAGAAAACCCAGTGATTTAAAAGCTAATTTTAGCCAGGTGAGAATCAACCGTGCAGTAAACAGGGAATCCGATTCTCCCTCGTATTTAAATCATTCCCAGGTAGAAGAATCTGAGGCCTCAGGGAAAATATTTTGGCCATTAAATGTACATTTTTCTCTGTTCCAACTTGTCCCTGAATTTCTATGATATTCATGCAACATGCACTTTGCAACGTGGATGGTTCCAAACACATTTGTTCAAGGGAAGTCATTCCCTAAAGGGCACCGACTCCCATGAAAGTATGATACAAATGCAAGTGTTTGAAAATATGAGGCTCACATCTGCTCCTCTGTGTGGTGATAAGTTTAAAGCAGGACCTAAAGCATTATGGCACCTGGATGGATCAAGACCCAAAGAGGGGGGTCTTGGAAGATTATGCAAGTCAAGCAGGGGAGAAGGAAGAGCAGGGTACAGTGCTGGGCAGAACTGAGAACTGAAAGGCTTATGAGTGAACACGTAGGAGCCTGGGTGCTAATCAGGAGTGACAAGAATACTTTAAAATTCTAAATGTAATAAAACTTGAAGTGTTTGGGGAAAGAGGGAAGAGGCGAAGAGAATGAAACTTGCAGTTAATGAAATTTGGTTTCCATTCCCATTTCTGCCACTCATCACTTATTGACCATAGAAGATTAATTTTTAAAGTCTCAGTTTCTCAATTTTTATGAGGAAAACCTAAATAAGATAGACTATGTAAAACAAGATGACTGAAACATTATAAGCCTTTTTAAAAACAAGATTTTTAGAGTTTTACTAGTTTCCATTTGTTTTTATTGAAGGCATGTGAATGGGCCCATGTGTCTGTATGTGATGAACAGTGGGGAGTGAGGCATAATGAAGGCAGGGACTTTAGCTCTCTTGGTACATGACCGAGGCCTTAGGACCCAACATGGAGCCTGGAACCTGGTCAGAGTTCAAAGGTACTTGTTGAATGGATGGAGGAATAAATGGATGGAAGAATGGATGGATGGTGACATGAGACTCCTAAAATATCAGTCTAGGTCTAGGTCCAAGAGCTTATGGGAGCTAAGTCCTTGTTCTGTTTCTGCAAACCAGGCTTCTCTGTAAAGAGAATATTCATGGAAAAAGAGAAGCAGTTTTGCATATACCCAAACTTCTTATTGGCATGTTTAAATTTTAAAAACTAACAACACAGAAGA